AGGATTTTGAATTCTATTCTGAATTTTACAGGGAGCCAGTGGAGAGAAGCTAATATGGGAGAGATATGATCTCTCTTGCTAGTTCCTGTCAGTACTCTGGCTGCAGCATTTTGGATTAACTGGAGGCTTTTTAGGGCATTATTGGGACATCCTGATAGTAAAGAGTTACAGTAGTCCAGCCTGGAAGTAACAAATGCATGGACCAGTTTTTCAGCATTACTTTGAGACAGGATGCTCCTGATTTTTGTAATATTGTGCAGGTGAAAGAAGGCAGATCTAGAGACTTGGTTTATGTGTGATTTAAAGGACATATTCTGATCAACGATGACTCCAAGGTTCCTCACAGTAGTACTGGAGGCAAGGGCTATGTCATCTAGAGTAACTATATGATTAGACAGCAGATTTCTAAGGTTTTCAGGCCCAAGCACAATAACTTCAGTTTTGTCAGAGTTTAGAAGTAAGAAGTTGCAGGTCATCCAGGCCTTTATGTCTTTAAGACATGCTTGAAGTTTGACCAGCTGACCTGATTCATTTGGCTTCATAGATAAATATAACTGAGTATCATCTGCATAGCAATGGAAATTTATGTTGTGCTTCCTGATAATATTGCCTAAAGGGAGCATGTATAAAGTGAAGAGAATTGGACCTAACACAGAGCCATGTGGAACGCTGTGACTAACTTCAGTTTGTGTGGAACATGCATCAGTAACATGAACAAATTGAAATCTTTCTGATAAATAAGATTTGAACCAACTTAGCGCAGTTCCTTTAATCCCAATAACATGTTCAAGTCTCTGCAGTAAGATGCTGTGATCAATGGTGTCAAAAGCAGCACTGAGATCTAAGAGGACAAGTATGGAGACAAGTCCTTTGTCCGAGGCTAGGAGAAGATCATTGGTGACTTTCACCAATGCGGTTTCTGTACTATGATGGACTCTAAATCCTGACTGAAAATCCTCAAACAAATCATTCTTGTGCAAGTGGTCACATAACTGCTTTGCAACAGCTTTTTCAAGGATTTCTGAAATAAATGGGAGATTGGATATTGGTATATAATTAGCTAGGACACCTCGGTCAAGAGTAAGCTTTTTGAGTAGAGGTTACTGCAACTTTAAAAGCCTGTGGAACATAACCTGTTAATAGAGAGAGGTTAATCAGATCTAGTATGGATGTGTTGATTAGGGGAAAGACGTCTTTGAGCAGCCTGGTCGGGATGGGGTCCAGGAGACATGTTGATGATTTAGATGAAGCAATTGTTGAGGTCAACTCAGAGAGATCTATAGGGGAGAAGTAGTCCAAGTATAAATGAGGTCTTACAGATGTTTCTAAAGCCATTGTAGTAGATGGCACATCTGCGAGAGCTGTGGGAGTGGTCCGACCAATTTTTTCTCTAATAGTTGTGATTTTATTTGTAAAGAAGCTCATGAAGTCATTGCTGCTGAGATCTAAGGGAATGTTAAGCTCAACAGCACTGTGGCTCTTTGTCAGCCTGGCTACAGTGCTGAAAAGAAACCTGGGGTTGTTCTTATTTTCCTCAATCAGTGATGAATAAAATGCGGTTCTGGCACTATGAAGGGCTTTCTTATATGTTATTAAACTATCTTTCCAGGCTATGAAAAACTCTTCTGACTTAGTGGAGCGCCACCTCCTTTCCATTTTTGGGGCTAGCCTCCTCTGTTTCACTGCCTTCTTTTTCAGAGGGGCAATGGTATCAAGTGTATTACGTAGGAATGCTGCAGTACTATCAACAAGATTATCGATTTGTGTTGGAGTCAAGTTAAGGTGGCCTCCTTCCACTGTGTTGGCAAACGGCACTGAAGTAGATAAAGATGGAATTATTTCCTTAAACTTGGTAACAGCATTGCCAGATAGACATCTGCTGTAGTGGAATTGTTTCCCACATGGAGTATAATCCATTAATGGAAATTCAAAAGTTATTAGAAAATGGTCAGACAGAAGAGGGTTATGGGGAAAAACTATTAAGTGTTCAGTTTTGATGCCATATGTCAGAACCAGATCAAGAGTGTGATTAAAACAGTGAGTGGGTTTATTTAGTTTGAGAGAAGCCAACTGAGTCTAATAATGAACAGAATGCATTGTTGAGGCTGTCATTGTCGGCATCTACATGAATATTAAAGTCGCCTACTATGATTATTTTATCTGTACTAAGCACTAAATCAGACAGAAAGTCTGAGAATTCACTTAAAAACTCTGAATAAGGAGCAGGTGGACGGTATACAATAACAAACAGAACAGGCTTTTGAGTTTTCCAGTTTGGGTGTGAGAGACTCAGGGTGAGACTTTCAAATGAGTTATAACTATGTTTAGGTCTAGGGTTGATTAATAGGCTTGAGTCAAAGATCGCTGCCACGCCACCACCTCGGCCTGTGTTTCGAGGGATGTGACAGTTACTGTGACTAGGTGAAGTGGATTCATTTAGGCTGACATATTCTTCCTGCTGTCCTAGCTCCTTCCTAGCTCTCGATTAAGCTACTAGCTTAGCTAGCTTCTAAACTAGCCGACCTAAAGTAGCAAGTTAAATTTGGTAGTTAGCAAGAACTTCTGCAAAACAAGTGCTTTAAGTGGTGCAAGCATATGTTGTCACTCAAAAATTCAGATGAACTTAGAAAAAGGTGAGTTTAATTCCTAAACAATCTGGAAGCAAGCACAACGCAGTGCAAATACAGAAAACAGGAAATGAGTACGGTTTACCGCAGGAAACGGCAGTCCGTCCAATCCATACAGTCAATAAAAGCTGTACAGTGTCTGCTTGGCTTTATACTGTTCTTGTATTATCAATATTGCAATGTAGGGCTACAGCCATTTTTTATTACTGGCAGGGGCAACAGCAGTACCAACTGCACAGACACAGAACACTAACATAAGAAGTCCCCAACCTTGAGGTACTATATATGCCTCCTGCCAAATGGTTATTATGGGGATCCCACAAGACGCTTCCCCCTCAGGCATTCTAGGGGACAAGGCCAAGTGTTCTCCACCCCCAACACTACACAACCCCCACCTGGCTGGTTAACTACTCAGTAACCACAGTCATAACTTCTTCTTCTTCTTCTGGCTGTTCCTGTTAGGGGTCGCCACAGCGAATCATCTGTTTCCACCTAACTCTATACTTGGCATCCTCTACTCTCACCCCAATTAACTTCATGTCCTCTTTTAGCACATCCATATATCTCCTCTTTGGCCTTCCTCTTGACCTCTTGCCTGG